GATAGATAGATATAATAGATATCAATAGATATAATAGATAATAGATAGATATAATAGATATCGATAGATAGATAATAATAGATATCGATAGAGATAGATAATATAATAGATAGATATAGATAATAGATATCGATAGATAGATCGATAAGATAGATTAATAGATATCGATAGATATATAAATAGATATCGATATAGATAGATAATAGATATCGATAGATAGATAATATAAGATATCGATAGATAGATAATAGATAGATATCGATCGATAGATAGATATAATAGATATAGATAGATAATAATAGATATCGATAAATAGATAATAATAAATATCGATAGATAGATAATAATAGATATCGATAGATAGATAATAATAGATATCGATAGATAGATAATAGTAGATATCGATAGATAGATAATAGATATCGATAGATAGATAATAATAGATATCGATAGATAGATAATAATAGATATCGATAGATAGATAATAATAGATATCGATAGATAGATAGATATCGATAGATAGATGATAATAATAGATATCGATAGATAATAATAATAATAGATATCGATAGATAATTTTAGAAATACATCGATAGATAATTATATAGCAAGATAAAGAGATGTCGATAAATAGATATCGAAAGATCGACAGATAAAAAGGTAAATGAATTGATATCAATAAGTATATAGAAATCGAGAGATAGATATCAATAGATAGATAGATAGCAGTGGATAAATCGATATCAATAGCCATTACCTATGGAGAGATAGATAATAATAAATATATAGGAGTGGATAGATTGATAATAAATGAATATATATATCTGCCCACACACACACACACACACACACACATATATATATATATATATATATATATATATATATATATATATATATATATATATATATATAATAGATAGTTAAGTGGGTAGGTAGGTAGATTGATAGATAGATATCAATAGATACATAGGTGAGCCGGAACATATATATATTGATATATATATATATATATATATATATATATTATATATATATATATATATAGCTAGCTAGATTTGTAGATAGGGTGGCAGGGAAAAAGCTAAATAGGTAGATATATAAACAGATAAACAGAGAATTTATCATCACAACACGCCTATGTATCTGTAATTTGCTTTTCGTCCAATTAAACCACCTGTTTCTAAATTTCCTCCTTTCTTCTTCGTATTGGTCTTCATGTTTGCGCATTGCCAGCCTTTCACCACCACGTTTCAACTCCACCTACACTTCCTTGCTCCGTATCCCACACACCTTTCATTTCGTATTGTTTCCCCCTTTGATCTCATTAACAACTCTCTTTACCTTTCTAACTGCATTCCATGCTCGTTATATTTGTTGATGTTTGTGTGTGAATATGCAATTATTGACAGTATATTTCAAATGATAGAAATGCAAAAAGTACCATTCATAGATTTTTATTTTCCATGCCATCTACAACATATCACTGGGCAAGAGTCACTGGTCCTGGGAAGTACATGCAATTACAACGAAGCCAGGAACTCTGGGTGATCCTGGCGGACATGAGTCAACATCTTGTGGTCGCGCTGCCCGCCGAAGTCCATCCCGCAGACAGGGCACTGACGTCGACGACCTTTGACAGGACACCGATGTTCCTCCGGCTGGGGAACGCCTTCGTTGCACACATCACAAAACCAGCCGCTGGTTGTCCGACGAAGGATTCTTTGCTTCCGTAGACACACCTTCAGCAGGATGTGAATAAGCCTTTCGGACGAGCGCTTGAAGGGGCGGTTGCAGGTGGGACACGAGAACTGGGAGGCGTCGTGGATGGTTCGATGTGCGTTGAGGGTGGTCCGTCGCATGAAGCCTTTGCCGCACACGTCGCACGTGAAGGGCCGAGCACCCGTGTGGGTATTGACGTGCATCTTTAACTTGTAGCGACTCTCGAAGCGCTTGTCGCAGAGATGACAGTGGGCGTTCTTCCTTCTGCGGCCGGAGGACGCAGGAGGGTTGGAGAGGAGGTTACCTGCGGCGACAGGAAGGTGACAGTGACGGGGCCGAGAGCGCTCTTGAATTCTTGGCTTACTGAAGGAGGCGCTGGAGCAGGCGAGGGTGAAATCGCCTCCTTTTCGTGGGGCAGACACCGAGGCCAACCATGAAGCTGCGTCCAGATCCGATTCCGATGGCCTCCCAACAAAAGGGAGTGGAGTAACTTGCATAGGAAGGCTGACACCATGAGAGATCACTCGGAGGTCGAACGCACTGTCTCTTCGGGGCGGCAAGGGCGCTCCTAGTAAGTGGTCCATGATGTCCCTCGAGGACACCCCCACAACGTCTCCAAACGTCCAAGCATATCCAGCCGCGTCAGACCCATACTGAGAGGCAGCCACGTCAGACGGATAAGAAAACATGTACTCAAAGTTATCCATCTTGGTGATCGAACGAGAGGAACACTGGTGAGGGAAACGAGCGGGAAGAGGCTTTTGAATGGTTCCTGACCTGAGGACGATCTCTACAGGTCAAGGTCACAGCCCGCCCGAGTTCCTGCCTCACTCAGTCAGATGCAAGGCCCTGATGTGTGATTTACTCCAATCAAATTTGATAATAATCGTTATTATTATCACCAGCATTGGTAAGGCTATCATCATTTCAATACCAATATCATTATTACTGTTATGTTCCAAGGTAGTGTCAAAACAGGCTACGAATACCATAGATTACAAAACGTATATTATAATGATGGAAGAGGCATTAAAAGGATGATAAACTATGATTAATACTGTCCTGGCAGTTAATGCACACTTTTACACACGGCCATGTCATAAAAAGAGGAAATAGCTTCTCTTACACTGAGGAACAAGACAAATATAGTTCATTTGTCAATAGTATTATGAATTATTAACAAGACAAATGTAGTTCAAATTCAAGACTGACCAAGACAAAATTAGAATCCGCATTCCAGGGATTTTTGCTCGGAGTATAGTGTACATAGACACTGATTCAGTTTCAGGTAACATTAAATTAGAAAATAGCTTACCTTTTGTTTTTCTTAGGAACGTGACGTAATTATTAAAGGTGCCTGTGTATACGACTATCAAGCGACGTAGCTATAATGCATATAAATTGGTATGAGCTAGATGATCGAGAGAAATCTATTAAGACAAAAGGCATCAATATCCATATCTATATTTATCTATGTTTATTCATTGATGTAAAGTATAGTGTCTATGGTGTAATGTCCGCATATGTATATAATCAGTGGTCGACAGCGTATTTTCAGAAATACCTTGGACTTCAGTGGCGCTCCAACTGTTTGAGTGTTGGGTTGCCATTTACCACGTGAATGACATGCAGATGTACTTTTGATATATTTTTGTTTGTTATTGTCCATCATAAGAGCCACCTGAGGGGCAAGCCAGCATTTGTGGGTACGTCTCAAGCCGGGATAAATAGAGAGGGTTAGTGTCAGGAAGGGCATCCGACTGTAAAAACCATGCCAAAACCAATATGGAATGAGCCGTAATAGCAAAATCAGTGGAGGCGGCTCATCCATAACGGCGACCCCACAGAAATGGGAGAAAGCTGAGAAGGATTGAATGGGTGCAGTGAGGTTTAGTGTAGAGGGAGTGAGGTGAATGATATATAGATGGTATACATAAGATCACCGTGTGTGTATATATGTAGTATAAATATTTTCATGTATTCATAATATCAGTATTGTTATGTTGAATGAGTATTTGTTATTTACATCGCGAGTTGCATCATGGTGTAGGAAGAATAACATTTATCTTAAGTCTCGACTGTCCTTTAAGTCTTCAAGGACCGTTTATGATAATTACGAGTCAGTGTGCTTTCCATTTGTCTAAGATATATACGTTTTTCCTGCGACTCAAGACGGCGCGCGAAGGAGTTGCATCTCGTGCAGTCGAAGACGTTCTCGCCAGATAGATATCGATGGATAGATAAAGATAAATAGCTATCAATAGCTATATAAACATAGATATCGATAGTTATAGATAGAAAGATACCTATCGATAGATATATAATGATAGATATCGATAAATGGATAAAGATAGAGATAAATAGATATCGATTGATATAGATGGAAAAATAGATATCGATAGAAAATTTTAGAAAGACATCGATAGATAGTTATATATAGAAAGATAAAGACAGATGTCGATAAATAGACAGATATCGAAAGATAGATATCGACAGATGAAAAGGTAAATAAATAAATATCAATACACCTAAATAGATATCATAGAAATCGAGATAGATATCAATAGATAGATAGACACCAGTGGATAAATCGATATTAATAGCCATTACCTATCGAGAGATAGATAATAATAAATATATAGGAGTGGATAGATTGATAATAAATTAATATATATCTGTATATATACATACACACACACATATATGTGTGTGTGTATGTATAGATAGTTAAGTGGGTAGGAATGTAAATTTACTGATATATATCAATAGATACATAGGTGAGCCGGAACATAGGTAGACATATATAGATAGATTTATAGATAGGGTGGCAGGGAGAGAGCTGAATATGTAGATATATAAACAGATAAACAGAAAAATAAACATCCAAACACACCTATGTCTATTTGTGTAATTTGCTTTTCGTCAAATTAAACCACCTGTTTCTAAATTTCCTCCTTTCTTCGTCTTCATGTTTGCGCATTGCTAGCCATTCACCATCACGTTTCAATTCCACCTTCACTCTCCTTGCTCCGTATCCCCACACACCATCCATCATTTCGTTCTGTTTCCCCCTTTGATCTCATTAACAACGCTCTTTACCTTTCTAACTGCATTCCATGCTCGTTATATTTGTTGATGTTTGTGTGTAAATATGCAGTTATTGACAGTATATTTCAAATGATAGAAATGCAAAAAGTACCATTCATAGATTTTTATTTTCCATGCCATCTACAACATATCACTGGGCAAGAGTCACTGGTCCTGGGAAGTACATGCAATTACAACGAAGCCAGGAACTCTGGGTGATCCTGGCGGACATGAGTCAACATCTTGTGGTCGCGCTGCCCGCCGAAGTCCATCCCGCAGACAGGGCACTGACGTCGACGACCTTTGACAGGACACCGATGTTCCTCCGGCTGGGGAACGCCTTCGTTGCACACATCACAAAACCAGCCGCTGGTTGTCCGACGAAGGATTCTTTGCTTCCGTAGACACACCTTCAGCAGGATGTGAATAAGCCTTTCGGACGAGCGCTTGAAGGGGCGGTTGCAGGTGGGACACGAGAACTGGGAGGCGTCGTGGATGGTTCGATGTGCGTTGAGGGTGGTCCGTCGCATGAAGCCTTTGCCGCACACGTCGCACGTGAAGGGCCGAGCACCCGTGTGGGTATTGACGTGCATCTTTAACTTGTAGCGACTCTCGAAGCGCTTGTCGCAGAGATGACAGTGGGCGTTCTTCCTTCTGCGGCCGGAGGAAGCAGGAGGGGTTGGAGAGGAAGTTACCTGCGGCGACAGGAAGGTGACAGTGACGGGGCCGAGAGCGCTCTTGAATTCTTGGCTTACTGAAGGAGCGCTGGAGCAGGCGAGGGTGAAATCGCCTCCTTTTCGTGGGGCGCAGACACCGAGGCCAACCATGAAGCTGCGTCCAGATCCGATTCCGATGGCCTCCCAACAAAGGGAGTGGAGTAACTTGCATAGGAAGGCTGACACCATGAGAGATCACTCGGAGGTCGAACGCACTGTCTCTTCGGGGGCGGCATGGCGCTCCTAGTAAGTGGTCCATGATGTCCCTCGAGGACACCCCCACAACGTCTCCAAACGTCCAAGCATATCCAACCGCGTCAGACCCATATTGAGAGGCAGCCACGTCAGACGGATAAGAAAAAATGTACTCAAAGTTATCCATCTTGCTGATCGAACGAAAGGAACACTGGTGAGGGAAACGAGCGGGAAGAGGCTTTTGAATGGTTCGTGACCTGAGGACGATCTCTACAGGTCAAGGTCACAGCCCGCCGAGTTCCTGCCTCACTCAGTCAGATGCAAGGCCCTGATGTGTGATTTACTCCAATCAAATTTGATAATAATCGTTATTATTATCACCAGCATTGGTAAGGCTATCATCATTTCATTACCAATATCATTATTACTGTTATGTTCCAGGGTAGTGTCAAAACAGGCTACGAATACCATAGATTACAAAATGTAAATTATAATGACGAAGAGATACGTCTGGCAGTTAATGCACATTTTTACACACGGTCATGTCATAAAAAGAGGAAATAGCTTCTCTTACACTGAGAGGAACAAGACAAATGTTCATTTTTTAATAGAATTATGAATTAACAAGTCAAATGTAGTTCAAATTCAAGACTGACCAAGACAAAAT